AGAAAAGTTCATCGGATAAACTTTCTTCTGTGGAAAATTTCATCGGATGAACTTTCTTCTATAGAAAAGTTTTAGCAGAGTTCCCAGAAGCCTTCGGAATCTGGACACATTCACAATTTTAATTTTTTTTTTGTTGTTTTTAAAATTCATTACACAATTTTTGAGCTTTCCACTTGAATTATTATTCGTCTGCCAGCTGCGTCTGTGCTGCGTGCGTGTGGGCGAGAAAAACATGAACTTGAAATTAATCATCCGTCTTGAATTGCAAGACATTTCGTTGAGAAGTTGTTAACATTAATTTATTAATGAAATACATTGTCCAAAACATGTTTGCGTTGTTATTCAATTTTGTGTATGATTGATGTGTATGTGTGTGTGTGCGTATTGGACAAGGTTAATTGGGCAGATAATTGTGTGTGTGTGGTAGGTGAGTAGGTCTGGCCAGCCAATTACACATGAAGTTATTTGTTAAAACAAGAAATTGTGAGAAATAAATAGAAAATGCTTGTTTTTAATGACATCATTTGAAGAGCATACTTTTGGGGCTTGATGTTGTTTTTGCGGAAGATAAGGCCCTTAAGACTTAAAAATGTTTCGCTAAAATTAGAAAATGTTGAAATATGTTTCCAAAAAATAACATGTGTTAGCGATAATAAGGAATTATTATCAACATCCGACAAGTGCTTGATTGCAGCAAATTATGATTTAAATGTCCATAATTTAGTGCATACTTTTGGGGATCACTTTGTATTGGCTTAGCCACTGAGAAATTATTTATATTTCATTATTTAAAATTTTAAATAACTATGTTTAATTTATAAATTTTATATGATAAAAATTATTGCATACTTTAAGGAAAATTATGTTTCTCCTTTATTTATGACAATTTAAATTGTCATGAATCTTCTTTTCCAAGCGAAAGCGTTTGTATACAATTTTGTCAAAAATTAAAGCCTACTTTCAGGAAGTGTCATTTTAATTAATCCCCTTTAAAAGGATATTTTTATTCCGTTGTAAGAAAACGAAATTTGTCTGTGAATTAAACACCATAATGATGATGGTAAACATCAATCACCTTATTGCTTTCTTTCTTTCGTTCGTACGGTCTTTCTTGCCCGGACCATATGATGTGAAAAGAAAGCCATTACAAGGTTCTAAATATCCTTAGAATCAACACAAATCTATACACAGCGAATCACATACACACTCGCAGAAAAGCATTTACATTCACCGTTACCACGACTGGCAGCAGCAGCAGGAGCTTTTCCATTTTAATCTTCCTTGAAGTGCACTCAGATGTGTTTTATTTCAGAAATCATTGAGTTGGCTCAAAGAGCTATCAACAACGTCTTGCCGTGTCTTCCCGAGCTCAGAGCCAGGCCACAATACCAAGAGCAACAACAGCGCCATCATCCTCCTCATTTCAGATAGATATCTCAGTGAATTATCAACAACATTGACGAATATAGAAAATGTCATTGAATAAATACAATAAAATGTAGACCCCTATCTCTTCTCCCCTCCCCTCCTTTGTAGGGCATGGAAAGTTGGAAAGAATTCCTTTTTCTTTCTTTGTGTGTGGTTGATGTGGGCCCCTTCAAGGGCTGCTGGCCATCACTGCCTTCTCAGCAAATGTTCTTCAAACATTGTGACGAGCACATCTTGAGATCATATTTTGTGCCGACTCTGTGTATGAATGCAAAAGGAAAGTATCATCTGCTCCCCATTCTCCTCCTCTTCTCTGGCAGTTGGAATGTGTTAACCGCCCTTTAACGAGTGGCTGAAGGGTGTGGGGACTCCATAAGGATTTTTATTTCTTTGCTTGGATTTGTTGGTCACATAATGTGTTTACAGCCCAAAAGTATGCAATCATATTAATCATATTTGTTTGTAATGAGGTTTTTAGAGAAGAAAATCTATTTTTGCATTTTCCATTGAATGTTACATTTGTTGCAGCCTTTGGACAGGTGCAGACTGGAGGAAGAGGTCATTTAAATATGGAAGAAATATTTGAAGAAAAAAAAGTTAAATAGCAGTAAGTTCGGCAAGGCTGAACTTTGAATAAACTCCAACATTTCGAACAAATTTAGAAATTAAAAAAAAAAATATATATATAAATAAATAAATAAATAAAATAATAATAATAATAAATAATAATAATAATAATAATAATAACAATAATAATAATAATAATAATAGTAATAATAATAATAATAATAATAATAATAATAATAATAATAATAATAATAATAATAATAATAATAATAATAATAATAATAATAATAATAATAATAATAATAATAATAATAATAATAATAATAATAATAATAATAATAAATAATAGTAATAAATTAAAAAAAAAAATGAATAAATAAATAAAATTCTAAATCCATTAAAAATGTGTTAAAATCTTAAAAATATCGAATAGAGATATTAACCGCTCAAAAAAAAAAATAAATAAACAAATAAAAAAATAATACATTTAAAAAAAAGAAAACATAAAAACAATAAAAATCTAAATCCATTAACAAAAATTTGTTAAAATTTTAATAATATCGAATTTGGGGAGTTATCGCTATTTGTAGTGAATAATGTCTCTAAGCTCATCAAAATACGGAATATACCGTTATATGGTGGCTATATGAAGATCTGGACCTGCTTAGACAATTATCTGTCATAGACTGTAGTACCCAATAGGAACTTCAAATACGAATTTTGAAACAATTCAGGTGAATAATGTCGCTGAATATCGAGAGGTACCGTTATATGGGTGAGCTATACAAAAAACGGTGACCTCCATAGTCAATTTTCCGTCACAGACAGTAGTGCCCATTACGAACTATCATTACGAAATTAGAAACGATGCCATTGAACAATGTTGCTAAAATCCGCAAAATAGCGAATATAGGGAGCTACCGTTATATGGGGGCTATAACTAAACTGTATAGCCCAGTTTCAATACCAAAACTCCTGTAGGTGAACACACACATTTGGGTAAAATTTTATCAACCTACTTCAATTCGTTCGGAAACTAGAGTGATTTCCACAGACAGAGAGACGGACGGACAGGCAGACAGACGAACGGTCATCCTTAAATCAATATAGAACCTTATGCTGATTAAGAATATATATACTTTGTGGGGTCTAAAATGTATATTTCGAGGTGTTATAAACGGAAAGACCCCCCCCCCCCAAAAAAAAAAAAAATGTTAGAGGGTTTAAAAATGGTGGAATGAAGGTTTCTCGGAAGGAAAGCGGAATTTAGTAAATTTTTATTTAAAAAAAACATCCAAATTTGGCATTGGAGTTTCTGTGAAATTCACGGCGAGTATTGTCGTCTAAAGTTTGGAATAGCTTATGTCAAGTATTATGGTGCCTGCAGGAGACTCAATAACGAACAGTTAATCTTAATTTTAAGGGGTCCTGCCACAATTCTCAACCAGATTAGCTGAAACTTCGCATTTTTAGTTCTGTTTTCTCTCCGCTAAAATATGTTCGCTACAGGTCTTCGTATAGCCCCCATATAACGGTACCTCCTGGTATTTTTATGATTTTAGCCATTTTAGAATTGTTTTAAATTTAGTATTTGAAGTTCCTAGGGGATACTAAGCCCAATACGGAAAATTGTCCGTGCAGGTCCATGGCTTCGTATAGCCCCCATACAAGGGTACCTCCCAATATCCGGTATTTTGATGATTTTAACGTCAATATTCACCAGAATTGTTTCAAATTACGTATTTAGAGTTTATAATGGGAACTACAGTCTGTGACAGAAAATTGTCTGTGCAGGTCCACGTTTTTGTATATCCCCTATATAAAGGTACCTCCCCATATTCGGTATTTTGACGATTTTAGCGACATTAATCACCGATTTTTTTCACGTTTCGCATTTGAATGCTGATAAAAGTTGCCTATGCAGGTCTACGTCGTCATATAGACCCTAAAATAACGGCGACATTTAATTTAACAGAATTTTTATCGGATTTAATTTTTTTGAAAATTGTCAAAATCGTTCCAAATGGTGGAGGGTATTCAAAATTTGGCCTGGCTGAATTTACAACTTTTTTACTTGTTTGTCTAACAATCGGTTTATCGAAAACTATCGGTTTATCAAAGACTACAGACCATGGTAGAAAAATACAGGTAGATGCATCAACGCTTGGGAACATTGATATGTCAAACATTTTTAAATGTTTATTCAAATATAAGTAGATATGATATATGTTTTCTTATACAACGTCGTTCGGAGGTTAATATAATTTGGAATTTTCAAAATTTTTTGTTTACAAATGTAAATAATTTTTCATTCAACATTTTCAATTGCAAAATTAGTTTGACAGTTCATTGTCCCAGCAGCTGTGTCGACGCGTCTACTTAAATTCTTCTACCATGCTACAGACTCTTCTTTCTTAGAGTTTGGCATAAATGGACCAAACCTAAGCAATATCCCAATTTATCGGTCGTTTTATTCCACATTATCGGTATTTTCAAGGTTTCTACCACAATTTTCAACCATTTCAGTTGAAACATTTTGAGTTTGGTTCTCTCTCTCCCTCTCTCTCTGCAAAAAATATTCTCTAAAGATCCACTAACTGGTGTAGTCCCCATATAACGGCATCTCCCGTTATTCGATATTTTGATCATATTTTCATGATTTTTTTTAGCTAATGGTGTAGGTTATTGAAAGTTCGGCCCGGAAGAACTTAATATTTTTTACTAGGTATTTCTTTAAAATCGTCCTGGTCCTTAGTTACCAAATTTAAAAAAAAAAATCCACAAAATCCATTTATTTCTTTCCAAACAGTCAATTTATCGAAAGTTATCGGTACGTCGTTTCTTGGTGTTGCGTATGTGACAGCTGTTATCTATTTTTCTTTAATTTCTAAAATTCTTTTTTTTGGCTATTTTTGAATTAAGGATTATTAAATTAATGGAAATTCTGATTTTTTTTTTATTTTTCACATATTTTTTTCTTTAAATTTCCCCCAATTCAAAAAGTGTTCTTCCCCATCCAAAAAAAAAAAAAAACAGCTGATATTTTATTTCAAACCCAGCTGACTGAGTAAATGTCTAACAGTGAATGGTGAGTGCCACAGAATGAGATTCCGAAATTCAGCTTCGACCCATTCGGCAGAAAGGAGTTTGCGCAGAAAACGCCACCAGGGTTACTGGCATCGAACAGAAGACCAACAAAAGCCAATGACGATAACAGCAGCAGCAACAAAAACAACAACAACACCACCAAAAGATATCACATGTTGAGTAAGAATACTGCAGAATGACAAACCGACTTGCAGGCACTTGGCCAGCCGCCTGTCGGCCACCCAACAATGTTGTAATACCAATAACCTCTTTCCCTTCATTTGAATGTCACCCCCCTTGCGTCGCTCCGTTCCCCTCTCGTGGTGCTTCTTGGCCACAGAAAGTAATTGGAAACTTTGTATGTGTCAGGCAGGCCAGTATCGAAGGATGGGAAAAGGGGCGGGGAGGAGGAGGATGTGTTGGGGCACAGAAAAAAAGCTTCGACCTGGTAGTACAACTGCCAAAAGCTGTGACCACCAATTCAGTATTAAGCGAACTGTGAGCTTAAAAAGGCAGAACCCTAAAAATAACAACAATTAAATCAATATAAAGCCGGTTAAAGGAAAGAAATATAGGCAAAAATACATAAATCAATCTGTGTGTGGAAAAGCCAACGGCCAACAACAGCAGCAGCAAAAGTAATTGGAGAAAAATCTCTGCAATTCGTGTGTACGTGTGTGTGCGTGTCCATGCAATGACATGACATGAAAATATGTTAAAAATCTTGTGAAATTCTCCGATTCTCCAAAAGAAATAAATTCAGACTCAATTCCTTGGGAAAAAAAGACTGACCGAACGAATTGACTGATTGAAAAATTATTACTGCAGCTGAGCCAAGCATCCAACCAACCGAGAAAGGGGCAAAAGGCCAAGAAAAAAATTATATATCCGACACCCCTGCGTCGCTACGACACCAGAGAAAAAAAGAGTTCTTTAAAGTTTAGCAAAAAAATCAATATCCGTCTAAAGTTTATTTCGGTTTCGCCACGAAAGGAAAATAAATTATTATGAAATAAATACGAAATTATTTATGTGAGATTTTCTTGGAAGCCAAAACAAACCCAGGCAAGCAGAAAAAAAATCTGGAAAAAACCAAAAAATAAAACGAACCCCTTTAAAGCACACCTTATTAAAGTTGTATAAGAAGCAACAACAAAACCCAGGATATTTTCCAACCAAAGCCAGCAAGCAGCGAAGCAGGCAAAAAAGTCCATTTTATGTGTCTAAAGCTTAAGTGATAATAAAAACCAAATTAGTAAATTCGTAAAACCAAAAAAATAATAAAAAATATATTCAATTGCCTAAACGCTTTAACGCTAGTCGAAAAGAAAATATATACGTAAAAGCCGAAGCTAAGCATCAGCAGCCGCAGCCAAAAAAAAAAACCAACAACAAAAAATTAATGCTTTTTCTTCTCCATCCATTGTAAGACAATTTTGCAAAGTTTTTTTTTTGTCGATAAATTAAAGCCAGAAAAACACCAGCATAATTGTAATTCTAATATAGAAAAAAAATCCAAAATCCAACAAGAATATCAGCTTAAAACTAAGGTAAAATAAAATGAATTTTTGTTAAACTTCCTTGCATAAGGGATTCCATTTTTTCTCTCTCTTCTTCATTCTTTGTCATGTACTCTTTACTTTGGTTGTCAGTTTTTAGACGTGTTTTTCTGTTCTTCTTTCTTTATTTCATTGTGGGGGTTAAGGTAAGGCAAAAGTATCAGCCATTCCCAGCAAAGCAAAAGGCGAGAAGAAATAAATAGTCGAATTATTACAAAATTTTCGAAAAGAAGGGCCAATGGTAGGCCTTCAATTGCTCAAAATTTCATATTAAAAAGAAAAAATATGAAAGACAGCCTCACATAACTAGATCAAAAGAAGTCCTGAAACTAGGCACCATTTTCACATTTGATTGCAGTTTCGATTTTCAAGAAATTCGGTAGAAAATTATTAAAAACTAAATAAAAGATTATAGTGAGCCTATGGAGCCTAGAAGTTTGCCCCATATTTTATTACGAATTCAAATCACTATCCTAACCATATGAAGCCTAGAAGTAGGCAACATATTTTATTACGAATCTCATTATATTGTTTTAATTGTCATCTTATTGATAAAAAAAAGTCTCAATAAAATATAACTGAACTTAAAAAAAAGAAGAAGTTCGACTGGGAGGAACTTTGAATATCCTCTAACATTTGGAAATTTAAAAAAATTAATTAAAATTAGAATTCGTTAAAAATTCTGTTAAAATCCTAAAATAACCGAGTACCGGAATATACCATTATACCATGGGGGCTCTACGGACATGCATAGACAATATTCTGTCGCAGGTTGTAATTCCGATGAATAATGTAGCTAAAATAATCAAAATACCGAATATAGGGAGGTACAGTTATATGGGGGCTAAGCGTAAGCGTGAAGCCCATTATCATTACCAAAAGTCCTGCAGATCAAACACACATTTGAGTAAAAATTTATCAAACTACTTCAAATCCTTAGGAAGCTAGGGTGATTCCCAAAATTTCCCAAAATTAGATGTTACAGAAATGTTTTTGAAAATAAATATGAAGGTATATTGGATTTGTAAAAGAATCAAACTTAAATTGCAGAAAATGGCCCCTGACACTTAGGAAGCCTAAAAGTATGCTACACAATCTCACGTTTTAGCCAAAAATATGGCTAAAAATACCTAAAAATATAACTAGGTACCCCTTTTAACTAGTCTCTTTATCCGTAAGTGGTTACACAATTTATTGTAATGAAGCTTAATTCCCGTTTCGTCAAACAATGACATAAATACTTATTATATAAGTAAAGAACTCACCACTTAAAATCTTAATTCCAGAAATCAATATTCAAAACACCTTCGAAGAACAAAGTTGAAGTATAAATGGTTTTTATAATACATCTACAGAGAATAAAATACTATTATATATAGGTCAAGATATATTAAAACCTTACACATAATACCTAAAAGTATGCACTATTTTCTCAAAATAAAATTATTAAGAAATCATTTACAATATAAGCACAGAGAAAGAATTCGTTTTTTACAAGAATATAGGCACCACATTCTAAAATGGCATGAATATCTACGAATTAAGATCTCAGTAGAGAGTTGAATGTATCTTTAATAAGATCCTATGTATATTTTGACATGAACTTACAACTACAATGTTGTGTACCTAAAAGTAGGCACCGTATTGACATTCAATTGAGAAATCAATGATTATTAAGCATATTTAAAGGTAACAATAAACAATATCGCACAAATCGATAGTCTAAATTTCCATCCGTGAAACTCAAAATGCATCGAAAACCCAAGAGAAGGCACCACTTAAGCCCTATCTAAAAATTATGCCTACAGAGAATTGTTTTGCCAGGAAAAGTAATGCCCTAGGACTTAGTTTCAGCTAAAAGATGGCATAGCTGCTCTAATTGACATTTACTACGAGTATATCAGAGATCTTTAGATCTAATGTCTCCATCCTAATGAGCTAACATAAGACAGAGAGAGAATAATAAGCAGGGAAGATTAAGATTTTAAAGAAAAAAATTATAGCCGTTGTAGTCACATAACCTCTTGATGTGGGACTGTTTACTCCCATAAGAAGGGGGAGAGAGGTTGGATATATTTGTTCTCACATTAAAAAGCCTTCGATCTCTTTCGTCGCTCCGTTGTTTTAGGGAAGTCAGAAATAGTCTAGTCATGATCTCCCCATTTGGAAGCTATGCCCGGTTTCGTTAGGGTGTAGAATGTCGTTGTTTGACCAATATGAAATGGGAAGCCTAAAAATAGGCACCACATCGACATTTAGAACCACAAAATAATGCTCAAGAGATCGCGTATAAAATATATGGAAATTTTTTATATATATTAATGAAGAAAATTTGTTTAAGTCATCTACTCTTGGAGGTCACCTTAAAGTATGCACCAAATGTATATTTGGTTGCCAACCGAACCGCTGTGAAAAGGCAAGATTTTAGAGTAATTGCATTGACGCTAGAAACAGTAAAATATGGGAATCTTTAGAAATATTACTTAAATGATTATCGGAGCGATACTCATGGAGTTTTTATTAAATATTTTCGAATTTATTTTTTTAATACTTTTTTGGCAGATTATCGCAGGTTTAAGGTTGGTGTTAAATCCAATATTTAAAATTCATTCAAAAGGCTTTTTCAATGGATTAGATGACAACAATTGTGTAGTTTTAAAAAATATTTGCAAAAGGACTATGGGGGACCCTATGTGGACCCAATTATTGTATTATTCTATTTTTTTTTTTTGAATTGGAACTTTAATCTTTTTTCTTCTGAATATTTGGGAAAGGACTATGGGGACCCAATTAATGAATTATTCAAATTTTTTTGAAGGATAAAAGATGTTTGAATTCGAAATCTTTCGAATTTGTATTTTTAGAAAGGCTTATAATTCGAATTCTGGACCTTTATTTCAGAATTATTTAAGTTTGGATTCTTACCATCGTTTTATTTCCATTTTTTTTTAAACTTAAATAATAGATTTTTTTATTATATTTTGAATGGTCATCCAAACAGAAGTTGTATTTTTTAAATCAGTGACACAATGTTTTTTAATTTTTCAAATATATTTTGAAGTTGATACTCGATCTACTTTCCTGGACCTTCTTATCGAAAGTCCTTTTTCTTTCATTGAAACTTTCTAGCTTCGATGTTAGTCATATTGAACAAAATTGATTCAAATATGTTGGCTGGGTTAAATTGTCGTAATATATCATCAACACCAGTTCGCCTTTAAACTCACACCTTCTTACCTTTTTCTTTTAAGTATTTATTTAGCTTTTTAATTAATTCCCTTAAAAAGAAGAAAAGAAAAAAAAAACCAACGAAACAAAAATTAACATCAGAAACCTTTTAACACTCTTGGTCCGACATTAATTGAACCAGTCGTCCGTCACTGGGAAGATTGGGAAGACAAGAAAGTGTGTCTCATAGAGTTTGTGTGAGTGTGTGTGTGTGCGTTTGAACACTTGTGAAAAATCGAATTTGGATTCTTTCAGTTCTTTCTCACATTTCCTTTTCATCATCAACCTATTTCCTATTTTCTTTTGCGGGTTTCTTCGGACTTTTGTCAAGTTTCTCTTTTGGGGTTTTCATTCGTTTTTGGGTACTCCAAAAACACTCCTAACCTATAACTCGCTGGCAACAATGCTGTCGTCATCGTCGTCAACTTGAACGAGTATGCGGCTTTTTTTCTGTTAGGGGATTTTCTTTTTTTTTCGTTTTCTGAGAAACTCAGCCCTTAAATCGCTGAGAACCTTAGGAGAGAAGCTTTTTTGGTCTGTAAAGACAAGGCAGATGTTTTTCGGACAGAGAAATCCGTATAGAAACAGCTGAAAACAGCTGTTTTCACAGACACATGTGAAAAATCGATAGCTACAACAGAAATCAGATGGTCATGGTTGTGAGGACTCTCTCTGACTTTCCTTTGGCACGAACAAAATACACACACACATTGCCCCGTTAGGAAACAATGATGACTTGCAAAGTTGTCAGTGGTTAGGGAATAGAGAAAATAATGTGTATTTCAGAGAGAGAGAGACAGAAAGAGAGAGCAAGAGAATCTGAGTACTGACTAAACAGCTGTTGTGACTTCCCAACAGCTGGTAATGGTCAATTTTTAATATTCTGATTCGAAAGGTTCCCATTAAACTGTAATTGGGAGAGCAGCTGTAAACGAAAGAGAGAGATTGTGCTAGTCTCTTTTGAGAAAAAAGTGGGACGTACCTTTTTAGAAAAAAATGCCGGCATTGTTGGTATGCCATATAATATAGATATATGCAGAGCATGCCAAAAACAACAACAGCAACAAAAACAACGTCTAAAAGGAAAAAAACAATTTTTATTGCAAGACAAGGAAGGAAAGACAACTTTAAGTACCGGCGATATTTTGAAATGACTTGGATTTTTATTAAATGAAGGGATAATGAGGAATTCGTTGGTATTTGCCCGAGACATCCTGCGGCCATTGAATGGGGCTAAGAGAGAACTTTTTGAATGTTTTATTGCTTTGGTTATATTTTGTAATGAATTACTGAAATGTTGCAAAAAACGTATTTTGGAATTTTGTTTAATTTTAATTAAATTGATTTTTCTTTCGGAATTTAACAAAACCAATTGGACTGGATGGTAGAGAAACAGGTCACACAGACGGACCAATCGCTCAAAATACATAATAGCCTTTGATTTCAAATTTATTTTAAGGAATTGTAAAATTTTTCATTTTGGGAAAATCCGTGAGAAAATTTGGCATTTATTTTCTCTTTTTGTGAATTTTTGCTTATTTTATAAAAAATCGCAGGAAAATAAATTTCCTCCAAGTCAGGCGAAAACATGTGATCTTCGCCTTAACAAGGCAGAATTGAAAAATTAAATATTTTAGTGATTTCCGTAAAAAAATGATCGTCTCCTGATGACCTGTTCACAGACTATGGTTAGAGGTTTGGGTAACTTCATAGTATTATACCCTTTACCATGCTATGGAGGGCATAGTAACTTTGTCAAATAG